ATATATCTCCATTGTGTGAAATGAGTGCATGTTTTCAGTTGACCTCTAGATGGCGATGTGGAGTAAACCAAATCCTTGTTTAGTTCCTTCTAGGTGTCTGGGCAAAGGAGTTGAATGCAAGAGAAGACTATGTAAAACGCAGCGTGCATGGTAAATTGGCAAGTGCCACACAGAAGCAAACCGAATCATACTTGAAACCGCTTTTTAGAAAATTGCGCAAAAAGGTGAGGAATGTTGACTAAATCTTGGAGTAGTTCTGCCCATTAACGGCCTTGTATTATTTACTGTACTTTTGTTTTTCTACTGTTGCTCAGTAAATTACAGACAGAATTGACAAGTTTGATTGACTTATTTGTTTTTATCATGATATGGATCGACAGGATTCAATGACTATATAAAAAATATATACCTTTTATGGAAAAAATTATATAATTTTCCCAGGATAATGTAATTTGTTCAGGATAATTGTATAATTAATGACAATCAGCATGGGTTTAGGAAAGACCGTTCCTGTCAGACTAACCTACTGACTTTTTACGAGGGGGTAAGTAGAGATCTGGATGGAGGGAGGTCTGTGGATGTGGTATATCTGGATTTCTCAAAGGCTTTTGATACAGTACCACACAAACGCCTACTATACAAGCTGAGAGCTATGAGCATAGATGGAAGGGTGTGTACATGGATAGAGAACTGGCTAAAGGAACGGGTACAGAGAGTATCAATAAATGGCGCCCTTTCAGACTGGGCTAGTGTCATTAGCGGTGTGCCTCAGGGTTCTGTGCTGGGACCGATGCTTTTCAACCTGTTTATTAGTGACATCGGGGACGGAGTACATAGCGATATCTCAGTGTTTGCTGACGATCCCAAAATTAGGAGGGTAATAGAAACAGACCAAGGTAGTGTAACATTAGGAGGACCTGGATAAAATAGGGGAGTGGGCAACTATGTGGCAGATGAGGTTTAATGTCGATAAGTGCAAAGTTATGCACTTTGGGATTAATAATAGGCAAATGGGTTATACAATTATGGGTCTGCCGCTAGGGAAGTTGGAAATGGAGAAAGATTTGGGGGTCATTGTAGACCATGAACTGAATAATAGATTACAGTGCAAAGCTAGTAGAGTCCTGTCCTGCATCAAGAAGGGAATGTTTTGCAGGGACAAGTCTATAATTTTGCCACTTTACACATCACTGGTTCGGCCTCACCTGGAGTATGCGGTGCAGTTTTGGGCACCGGTACACAGAGGGGATGTCCTTGAGCTGGAGAAAGTCCAGCGGAGGGCAACCAAACTCATCAAGGGGATGGAGGACCAGAACTATGAGACAAGGCTACTAAATTTAAATATGTTTACGTTGGAAGTAAGGAGATTAAGGGGGGACATGATTTTCATGTACAAAATGTTCAATAGTCTTGGCAACAAACTCTTTAAGATTAATTCCGTAACAAAGACTAGAAGCCACCACCTAAAACTGGTAGAAAAAAAATTCAAACACAAGGGGCGAAGGGGGTTCTTCTCAGTTCGCGCTTAGGGTCTGGAACTCGCTGCCTCAAGCAGTGATTTCTGTGAATAGTCTGGAATAATTCAAGAAGCTTTTGGACGATTTCCTGAGAGACCATAATGTACAAGGGTACAGGTACTCTTAAGAATGAGAACACTCAGGGACCTATACACACACACTAGGTTGGACTTGATGGACTTGTGTCTTTATTCAACCTCAAATACTATGTAACAATGTAAATACAAGTACAGTTCTACCTATTATTGCTTAAAGCCCATCTAAAGCCTCATTTTGTAGAACATTCATTTTAATGTACATGGACAGTCTATTAAATCCTCGATACATTTACCTAGAGTATTTTGGCAACTAAAATAAGTTCTGCATGTTACAGAGTGACAGGTTACAGAATGAAGACTGCAAGTGAGAGGCAGCTCAGGAAACATTGTCGTGGTAACCAGGAGGCTTTACAGTTGCAGGCATGTCTGCCCTACATACACACACAGGAGCAGAGGGGAGTGGGCAGAAACCCAGCCCTGTGGCTGCCAAAACCAATCGGACAGTGTCAACTCCTGTGCCCGCCTCCGCGAATCACCGGCACAGCACACAGTTTCAAATGAACATCCTCCATAGCTGCCATCACTTACAGCAAACAAGCTGTGAGACAACAGAGCCCAGTCAGCCCATTTGTGAGATTACATGGGGAACATAAGCATTGTAAAGCACTGTGCTGCTGTGGCACAACAGAGCCCAGCCAGCACTTTTGTGAGATTACATGGGGAACATGAGCATTGTAAAGCATTATAAAAAGATGGCTAATGACTTGTAAATGCTAATAAATTGCAAACATTACATGAAATGGGAGGCTATTAATAAAGGCATGCAGTGATGACAATAAGTTCAACATTGTCCATTTGGTCAACCAGGTGATGTCCTTAATGTCCATACTGCAGAGCGAAGATGACATCACACCTGAGCTGTAAAGAAAAATTACGAGGGATAGGACCATAAATGACTCATGACACATGGTTAGAGTAAACCGTGGGTCAGATCACTGGCAGGAATTTGACATATAACACACACCGTGTATCAGATGTGCCTGCCTCTTCTAGCCCAGTGGACATGAGCTAGGATTGGCACTCTGAATGTATGTCGGCATCCTCCATCTCTGCTGGAGTGTAGGCATCAAGCTTAGACCAGCAGACCGTAACCACAGAGTTACCCAGTAACCAACCTAACGTGCAATATATCTATGCATAATAACATTACATACAATTACTACACATGTACAGAAGATTGAGCACAATGCTGAGCTCAATCTTCTGTATTGGAGGTGACAGGTTCCATAAAGAGAGCCTGTCACCTCCAAGCGCTATCACATAGAGGCTTGTTAGCCCCTGTGTGATAGCAATAAAGTTAAGTGAAAAAATAAACTAAAAAAAGTGATACATTTAAAAATAAAAAAGTGATACATTTTAAAACATAAATAAATGTACAAATAAAAAAAAGTGATTAAAAAGTAAAAAATTATAAAAATCAAACAAATTTAAAACCAGCCCCCGCCATCCGCATGCAAATAAATGCACGCATTAGGCATTGTGTGCATGCGTGCTGCCCATATTCCACTGTATGCCATAGCCGGGCAGCAGCGCTCTTTAACACGTAAGTTCACTTTCCCTAGTAATTTTGGAAAATTTCATTACCCGCTTAAACACTCAACAAAAAAATGTGTCTTATTTGTGTCTCACTCATCTGTGGATCCCCAAATCATCTCTGAATTCTTGCTGACATTGTCCTTCCTTCTGGAGGGTGGCTCCTTTTATTCCCCATGATCCCTGTGTGTGTTGTAAAGTAGCCACCACTCCAAGCTAACTCCGATGAAGGACTACAATCTCAATACAAATTAGTAAACTAAAGATGAAATTGTAGATACCCAGAAGGAAGGACAGGGTCGGCACAAAATCAGAGATGATTTGAGGATCTACAGCTGAGTGATACACAAATAAGATAAAGTTTTGTTGATAGTTAAGGTACTTGAATGTATTTTTAATATTTAATGCCTGAGTTTAGTGTCACATTAAAGTAAACGCTGAAGATCAAAGAAAGTCACAGGATCGTTTGATACTTCCATCTTTTCATGGTGGTTTACTGGGAGTCATTCATTGTGCTAAGGGAAGATCAACCTCTGCATGTTTAATAGCCGTACTGTGTAGACCAGTTCACTCATCTGAATATTTAATCCCCAGTATGTACTGTATTGTATTTTTATTTTTTTTGTCATGCATGTGATCCATTCATACGCATGTATTTTTATCATTAGCGTTATCAATGTGCAATATATACACCTGGGTTATAATATTGGGGGAACATTTTCTGTATATGTACTTTGTGTAGTTCTTCAACACCAGAGGGGTTAATTGTAGCTAAATGATGCCTTAAGTCCTACGTGGCTAACTGTTTTCAGTTTCAGGATGTGCCATACCAAAGCCACAGGAATGATATTCATTAAAGATAATATATAATGCTAAGTGAAAGGGAATTAATAATCTGAAGGTGCTTTCCACGGAAAAGTTGTTTTTGGCAGCTGGCAGGAATTTTATCGGGGAAATAACTTTTGTGCAGGTACAAGCATGTATCTAATGCATCAGCAGCTTTGCACAGATTTCTACAGTGTTCAAAACTCATCTGACGCTGAGACTCCAATGCCAAGTTATTTAAGTCATAAACTATTAGGTTTATACCTGCATCACTACTTCAATGAAAAGATATCCAGTGATTAGGTCTTCATTACTACATCTCTCTATTTTTGTTTGGCCACCATTGATTAATAGCAGATGCCCCTGGTTGACTGGTGTTCTGTAAATATTTAACCAGGGGATTGTCATCTGTTCTTTTAACTTCTATATTCAACATAATCTGTTGACTTTTGCCATTTTTATATAGAAACCCCTTGGTTTACATGGCATGATGGGACAGCTGCGCAGCTCAAAGTTGCCCTTCACTATGCATGCTCTTAAAAATGCAACTATGTGCTTCTGTATGTTCGCCGGTTAGAAAAATGTTGCTGTCCAACTGCTGTTAAATGTCTCTTGCACCCTAAATATACCAATATACAGAAGCATAATATAATTGTCCATATATAAATAACCTTATCCCCACAACCCATTAAAGGCTCTGAACCTTCTTGTTTTCCTTTCCAGTAGAGTCTGGAAGTGTTTACCCCTCTATTTAGTCTGATGATCACTGTACCTTGGGACATAATGTGGTGGACATCCCAAATATTACAGTTGTTCCTAGAAAAGAATAGAGGGAAGATGTTCCAATAGAGACTCTGTTCTGGTGACAATTGGCAAAGAGGGGAATTTTGCTTATTTTGTAAGGATTTTTTTTAACTTACTTTTGTATCCGTGGGACAGAAAGTAAAGAGAAATCTTCCTAATGGGACACCTATGGCAAAAAAACCCCAGCAGGTTTTCATTCCCTCACTGTTTAAAATAAAAAGAAAAGTTTGGGCTTTAAATATACTTTTATATATTCATAATGCTAATTATCACATCTGATTTCAGACTATTCACATCTATATCACATCTCTTCATTTCACCCGGATGCCCGTTTGCTAGCCTTGCTGCATCAATAGCACCCCACCCCGACATGCAAAAATGTAGCATATCTGCACATGTCTTTGTCCTTATTAAAAGTAATCGGAATGGGAAGAGCTGTTCTGCTTTGTTTGCTTGAGTAAAGCTGGTCATACATTATTTACGAGTTTTTTCTCGTTCTGCCCCGTTGTGCGAACCAGAAAATAAAAAATATCTCAATTTCCCCCATCCAGGCTGACGGCATGGATTGGAGAAGCCTCCTTGCCGGACTGTTTTAGTCTGACAGTGACACACCCCGTACCCTGAAGAGTGGCCACAGTCGCTGTTCAGCTGAGAATGTTCAGACTGGCTCCTTCGACACAAGTCAATTGAAATATTTACTCTTGTTGAATGTTGGGGTGCCAACTGGGCTATGCACTGGTTGAATTTTGGCAGGATAGAGAGAGGTAAAATATGAGCAGTGTATGGCCAGCTTTACAAAGGAACAGTACAGTCCTTGATGAACTGAAAACTTACATCCTGTATTGCTAAACTCTTCCAGTGTATAAACAAGTGGGCAGAAAATAGGAGAAAGATAGGCAACCCTGACCATATATATTGGCAGGCTCTTATCTGAGAACGTATCAGTGTTAAGGATATATGTATTTTTAATTTAAAATGTCTAATCTTCAATTTCCTTTTAATACAGAACCTTCCTGCGGACATTAAAGAATCAATGACGGATATCATAAAATACGTATTACAAAGAGAATACGTGAAGGTAAATGATGTGCTTCGACTTCAGTTGTCTATGTGGGTAAACAGCAGCGTAGTAATGTAGCAAGCTATCAGCATCTCACCTTACTTGAGTTGTAATAGCAAAAAAGTGTAGCGATATGATAGACTACCCAGACTGTGAAAGAACTTCTTCCATTGCTATGGTGATCTACGGCCATGTTAATTGACTAGTCACCATGCAGCATTTAAAGCCTTTTTAATCACTCTTTCTATACTTTTAATACAATGTAACAGATGAACCAAAATAACATCACATACCATGGTAAACATAGTGCACTCCAATCTCAAAGTTCAACTGTGTTTGGTTACAGATACTACAGCTGTTTGTGTTGAGTTTAGCAGTTTTGGAATAACAAATAACTATGTATAGACGTCAGTGCTTTGAAAACTGTAAACTATAGTCTCTCTTGTGTCAGAGCCAATCGGCTTAAGCTTGGCCTTTGTGCCAAACGAAACCGCAAGGGTAACAATGAAGAATACTGTTTGGGGGAAATGCCAAGAATAAGTCTCATGGGAAGGTTTACAACTGAGGTGCTCTGATATTTGGTAATTAGTCAAGTTCCTGTGTGTATGTATGTGTATGTTTTTGTTCTCTTCATTTAGCCTTCCTAGCTAGTTTATAGAACCAGTTCATGGTGATTTCAACCCTGCTTTTCATACTTAAATGTGGAGCAGTCTGATGTTTCTTGTTTACTTACCCGCAGGCAAATGATGCCTATCTTCAGATGGCTATTGGCAATGCCCCTTGGCCTATTGGTGTAACTATGGTTGGTATCCACGCTCGTACTGGACGTGAGAAGATTTTCTCCAAACATGTAGCCCATGTTTTGAATGACGAAACACAGAGGAAATACATACAGGTAAAATATCTCCTTTCCACTGATGTGGAACGTGCAGCTCACACATTAATTCCCACCCTTAAACTTAACTTTATTTTAAGCCTTCTAACATGAGTTTGCTTAGCAGACTTATCTTTAGAAAGTGTTACATAAAAGTCACAATTAAGTTGGCGATTGATGTGTTAGCCGCATATCCCATTTTATTGTGAATAAGTAATTTCTTGTAATTTCCAGTGATCTAGAAATGTGAAGGAGGCTTGTTTAACCTTTTCATATGGGGGTATGAGTTTCCTCTTAGTATTATCTTTTATAGTACAAGACATTGTTGGTCTACAATTGCCTGGATCACCAAATCAAAGCCTGCTTGCTCTGTGGGGTTTGAACCTTGTTCATGCTAACATTGTGTGGTTAGCACCCAAAACACTATAAATATCATTGAAACCTATATATGAAGACTTTTGGTGACCTCTGCTATTTCAGTGTAATAATGCACTCTTTCTTGTATGTAATCCATGCATTTTTTTATTTCATTTGTATGTCGGGCAATTGGTGTGCATTCTGCTCTTAAAAAACATACAAATTTACCCCTCTGTAAAAGTTATGCAGAGTTTAAATGAGAGAGGAATTGCTGATGTTAAGAAGTGGCCATCACAATGTTATTACCTGTCTGTCATACATGCATTGTATTGTGTAGATCCCATCTCCCACCTCAATCCCTCATTTTGTATTGCTGTATTGGGCTGAAAATTGAATTTTAAACACCAGTGATCCAAAAATGTAGAGTTTTTAGAACATTTATGTATACAGGTGAAACTCGAATAATTAGAATATCGTGCAAAAGTAATTGCAGTAATTGCTGCAAAAGGGGCCCAAACCAAGTACTGAGTACATATGCATGCTTGTACTTTTCAGAGGTCCGATATTGTTCTATGTACAATCCTTGTTTTATTGATTGCATGTAATAATCTACTTTTTTGAGGTTGTGGATTTGGGGTTCTTGGGGTTTTCATGAGCTGTAAGCCATAATCATCACAATTATGACAAATCACGGCTTGAATTATCTTGCTTTGCATGTAATGAGTCTATCTCATATATTAGTTTCACCTTTTAAGTTGCCTTAGTGAAATGAACATTGCACGATATTCTAATTATTCGAGTTTCACCTGTAATATAAGTGTTTATTAATCATCAAGGATCTACATCTGTAGTAGCCGTTTACTTTTTTTAATTTTGTACCTGCCATGCTTAATCCAACATTATTAGAAGTTTATGTAACTACATTCCCGGGATATCACAAAAAGGCTATGAGAAAAGAAGATTTGTGATCAAGCGTATTGCTTAATAATATGCAGTCATTTCTTAATAACAGAGTTTGGCCCTTTTATTCTAGAACACATCAAACGGAGACTAAATTTAAATGCTTTTCTTTATCCTTGGAACCACCATGATTTTCAGGCTTTTACTATTTAATATGAAACTCCAAGCCCATGCAAACATATCATGCCAAAACAAGCACATATCAAAAGTGCTAATAAAAAATTCCACTGGCGTAGACCTCGTTTAATTGTTGAGACATTAAACGCTTCAGGAACAGGAATCATTAGATTTTTATAGCTGTAACTGAAGCAAAAAGTCTCAGGTGGTAAAGTTATTCTCTTTCCCATACATTTATAATCTGCTCTTAGCTAGTAACCGTAATACAGTACTTAGATGTGTCGTTTATAGCTATTCTGGCAGAGATGACTGTAACAAGTAATCAGTATTCCTCTTTCATTAGTATGATTTGGACTGCCCTCCTTTTTAACTATAGTATTAAAGTAGAACTATGCCTTCCCATTATAGAGATTTGTGCTGCAGCACCTAATTATAAGTTCATGTGTACTTACCATTTTCTCAGCCCCCCTGTAAAGTCTGACAAATACTTGTTGTTCCTGCCTGGTGCAGCTTCCTGTAATGATGTGGTAACAATGCTGCACTGCTCCTAAATTCAGACCAGCTTTCTGAATTGTCAGAACTGCCTTTTGTTACTGAAAACCTCCCACTGTAGGCTGCAGTGCTTGGGAAGATGGTGGTGGGGGCAGTGTGAAGCAGAAATGAGGGGAAGGTTAAGAAGTTTTTTGTTTTACTTTTGTTAGGCTTGTGTATCACATATATAAAGTGGGTTAGGGTCTTGTTTAGACTGTCATCGAGGAGCCTTTAGATGTACTTTAAATAAATCCAATGTATAGTGTCCTTCCAAGGGTCTGCTTTTTTTCAGCCACTCGCTGCCAGTTTAAAGCCCACTTTATTGGTCACCTGATCTCCCTTTGTATCCACCTGGTTGGGAGCTGAAGGTTTGAAGTTGGAATATAAATAATGTCTACTGTCTTTGTTGTACAGAACTCGTAATTCCAGTTCATTCAAGTTGTGACTGCTTTAAAAAACATCATCAAGATTTAGTCATGTGTAAACTTCTGTTTCAGACATGTACACAATATAATGGAAGCCCATTGCTTTAGGAACGTAATGGTCCTTTATGTTCTCTGTGGTCAAGTACCTTGTGAGGTTATTGCTGTAGAGAATACATAGGGCAAATTAATGTAGAATTAAGAGACAGTAGGACATTTTTGTAGGAGCCAGCTCTGATGACAACTACTAGAGAAAACCTCAAATGTTCGGCGGACTTTTTTAAGGAGCATTGGCGCCCTGGCTCCTGGGATTTTTCCAGCCATAGGGTGATGACATAGGGTGATGGTTTTTCACGAATCCCAGACATACAGCCTGTCAACTATGGTAGTGATGCCCAGTGAGTGCATTGCTTTTCTCTTCCTGTACTGTCTTTTTGACAAGGGGTGAGGGCATTTGATGTCAATTGAATATATTGGAGACAACCAGGAGATGGGATACAAAATTGTAATGAGATGGTATAGGGTACCTTGGTTGCTGCACAAAATGGTTGACTCCATCCCTGACCTATGTTAGAGATATGATTCGGCTGTAGTTATGATGATTACGGCTGCAGCTAACTATTATTTTCATAATCGATTAGTTAGCCGATTTATTAAGTTCGATTAAGCGGATAAAAAAGAAAAAAAAGGCTCCAGTGATGGACTACTAGTTTGTATTGAGATTGTAGTCCATCACGGGAGCAAGCTTGGCGCGGTGGAAGTAAAAAAAAAAAAGTGTGGTGTGCAATATAGTACATTATACAGCGGCGCAGTGCCCAATACCAGCAGCTATAGAGGAATGTAGCAATAGTACATTATACTATAATGTACTATTGCTGGGATTTGTATTTCTCTATAGCTGGCGTTATTCTGCATTGCGCTGTATATAATGTATTATTGCTGGGATTTGTAGTCCTCTATAGCTGGTGGTATTCTCCATTGCGCTGTATAATGATTATACTGCGCAATGCAGATTACCAATACATTATACAGGGTGTTTAATATATTATTGCTGGGATTTGGTTTTCCTCTATAGCTGCTGGTGTTCTACAGTGTGCCGCTTTTTTATTAAATTTTAAACAGGAAACATTAGAACAGGTCCCCCTTACCTGTTTCTGAACCCTTGTAAGTCGCCGCGGCGTGCTCTGCGGGCGTGTGTCCGGCTTGTGTGGTGGTCGTGGCGTCCGGGGCGTGCGTAGCGTAACTCGTACCTGTTCCACCATAGCACCCCTGTACTCCTGTTCCACAACGGCACCCCCACACAACTATTCCACCATTGCACGCCAATACACCTGTTCCTCGCTGCACCTTCATACACCTGTTCCACCGCTTCACACCCATACAACTGTTCCACACAGCACCCCCACACACCTATTCCACTACTGCTCCCATTCACCTGTTTCACACAGCACCCTTGTACACCTGTTCCACCACAGCACCCCCAAACACCTAATTCCACCACATCACACTCATACACCTGTTCCACACTGCACCTCCATACCCCTTTTCCACCACCACACCCCCGCAACCCTATTCCACCACTGCATCCCTGCACACCCGGTCCACACTGCATCCCCATACACCTATTCCACCACTGCACCCCCATCCACCTATTCCACCACTGCCTCCCCACACAGCTGTTGCACACCTGTTCCACCACTGCACCCCCACACACCTTGTCCACACTGCACCCCCATACACCTATTCCACCACCGCACACCTATTCCACCACTATATCCCCGCACACCTGGTCCACACTGCAGCTCCGTACACCTATTCCACCACTGACTTGCTTTCAGAAGGTGGGCCCTCGATTGTTGGCGGGCCAGCGACGAGTGAGGGAGATCGCGCCGAGGAGGAGAGCAGTGGCTTCAGCGTCCTGTGCGGTGGGCGTGGTTTATGCGGCCTGTGCGGTGGGCACGGCGGCCGCAGCGGGAGCAGCGTGTGACGTGTGGCTCAGGCCGCGTGTGGAGCCCCGAACAGGCAAATCAATCGATAGCCGGCGAATCGACGATCCAAAACGTTGCCAACGTTTTCAATCGTCGATTTTTAATCGACTAAATCGATTAACTGTTGCAGCTCCAAGATGTATCATACCCATCCAACCACAGTAACTTCCTGTCCTAGAGTGACAAAACTTGCTTGCTGTACTGTACTATGCAAAATTAGAGTGGTCATCCTAGGCTGCTCATCCTTGATTTGGACTACAAAACCCCCTATCTTTATAACATAGGGGGGTTTGTAGTTCTCAAAGTCAACCAGGGAAAGGCTAATAAGCCTCTTGGGATTTAATTTTAACAGGGGCACTTGTTGTCGTCTCACTACAGGAACTTATGAGCTCACTGGATTTCTGGCAGTGAAACTGATCTACCAAAATGCTGTCAATGTATATTCAACAGAGCAAAAGGGAGCAAATAGGGGAATTTCATTGTTAAAGTGACATTAAAGGTAATCCCCCTCCATGCTCGTGTAAGGACTTACCTTAAATGATCCCTCTTGATCCGATCAGCTTTTTCTTTCCTGTAGTTTTCAGGAGTCCCTACAGCACTGGTGCCAGTCTCTGATCCAGTGCTGACTCCTCTCTCTTCCAGGCACTTTCTGTCCCACGGAGTCCGTGCGGGTGCACGCTGCCTCCATTGACTTACCTTGTGTCTCTCCTCGTCTCCCGGCCAAAGATCTAAACTGTGCATGCACCCGTCCCCATGATCCTTTGCGGCCGCCTGAGAATCTTTAGTTCTTCGGATGGGAGTGCGCGGCGGAGACACAGGTAGGTTTTAACCCTTTTGTAAACTTTTTTGTGTGTGATGTTTTTGCATATGTCTAGTGCTTGCTAGCAGTATATATATAATATATAAT